AATGCGTGACTACCCTTACACAAAACGCACGGCGGAAACTCAGACTTATCCTGAGCCATACTAGTTATCTGGCTATTGGCTGCAAAAACTTTGGTTGTTTTTGGTTTAACTGCTTCCTCGTTTTTTGCCTTAGACTTGAGTACACGTAATCTTTCATGCCCCTCGGCTTTCTCTTTCAACCAGTTATTAAAGTCTAAGAGTGTTGGTCGCTGCCAATTATGCCTAACAGTATGCATTGACCAAGCTTCCTTCAGTTTAGGCGGAATTTTACTAACAACTTGGTTTAACAGGTTAACACTCTTTAAATCATCGTTGAAAGACAATGATTTGAAAACTGCTACGAGGCCAGATATGGCAGAGGAGAACTAATGACATTTTCCGAATTGTGCATCTTAAGTGCAGGAAAAGTATTCAGCTTATCAAGATACGCACCAACAATGGCATGTGGTTGCCCAAACTTCCGTTTCAAGGTGGCCAGTGCATCCTTGTACATAACGCCACTATAACTAAACTCCGCAATTGCGGTTTTTGCTTTGCCTGTGACGAGTGTTTTTAAGTATGTCAGTTTCGTATCATCGTTGAGAACAGCGGAATCAACGGTGGACTTAAACTGGCCAAACCATTCGTGCCAGTTTAACGGGTTGCCGTAAAAATTGGGCTAACTTCCATTCAGGAAGATAATCTTTGCGGCTATTTTTTTTTTTTAAAAGCAATTTTATATTAGTGAACGGCATTATCAATTTTTGCGCAATGAGACTATTGTTCTCAATGTACTCAAGTAATAATGAGTGACCTTTAAGCAGCTCATTTTCTAAACTTAGACGGGTTTCAAATAACTTGCGTACCTTACTGTGGAATTTGTCGTCCATGTTTTTCACAAGTTAACAATGTTTTACGGATGCTAACCAAAGAGAAAACAATTAATAAAATGAGATACTGTTTTGATACGTACTTAGATTTACATTAATATATCAACTTTATTTTACAAGATGGGGGAACTTGACGTCTCAAATCTTCAGCCTGAATCCTTTTTTTTATAGCTTCCCGAGTTTTAAGTGGTAAGCGGTTTCGCTTCTTACGAGTCTTAAGGACGTTAAGATTAGTGCTATAATGCCTTAGAAGGTGGAGATTATTTAACTCAAGTGAAGGTGTCTGGTGAAGCTGTTTGTACTTCTCAGTTGGTACCTGGTCCTTAGCCTTACGCTTAGAGATAAAGTCTCTGACAACATTCAGAACGAGAAAACCTGTTGAAACTAAACTTTCCTCAATATCCTCGGATCCGTTCCGTCTACAGTATACGATCGCACAAACATTTGTCCTATACCTTAATAACAAATTGACAAGTTGCTCACTACTCAGCTTGCGGTTATTGTTACCCGGTGCCTATTGAGTTATTAATGGCGTCGTGCCAAATTACAAGGTCGTTACGGTGAGACAAGTAGAGATGAAGGTAGTAGTGTATTGTTTTCTGAGAGTCCCTAGCGTTAAAACTCAAATTTAAACCTGGATCGTTGACTGTCACGAAACGAAGTCAATAATCGGACGGGAAGCAAACTGGCTTTCAGTTTCACCAAAGGTGGGTGGGGGATCAGGCAAATTGATTAAGTTCCAACAACACACGCGGAAGAAACCTGAGGATGAAAAAAATCAAATTAATTTGCCTGATTTTTCGCTACCAGACCACTTAACATAAGGTTGATGTCATGTTACAGTACAGTTTCGTAGAATTCTGGAGACGTTTTGAGAGTTTTTGGCAATTTTTTTTTACTTTTTTCACAAAATTTTTCAAAAAATTTTGATCAGCGGGTTTGAGTCATAAAACAAACCAAAAAACTAGTCCAGTACCGCCTGTCTATGTTCCCATTTCACGGATTAATTTTCCGTTTACATTTATCCAAAAATTTTGGCATCGAGAAAAATGTCAAGTAAATTGTCTAAGTATTGATTGTAAGGTATCTCAGGGAATATCTAAAGGAACTGTCCAAAAATTTTGGCTATTAAGACAAATTACCGGGTGCTAGCTTGCGGGAAAAGTTTCAACTTGTATGACATCATATATAATTTTAAAGCACGAATGGAGAGTTTTAAAAGTCTCTGACAACATTCAGAACGAGAATATTCAGAACTTTCCTCAATATCCTCGGATCTTTTTCGTCTACAGTATATGATCGCACAAACATTTGTCCTATACCCTAATAACAAATCGACAACTTGCTCACTACTCAACTTGCGGTTATTTTTACCCGGTGCCTAATGAGTTATTAATGGCGTCGTGCCAAATTACAAGGTCGTTACGATGAGACAAGTAGAGATGAAGGTAGTAGTGTATTGTTTTCTGAGAGTCCCTAGCGTTAAAATTCAAATTTAAACCTGGATTTGTAAAGCAAATATCTTTGACGCGCTTCTGGGACGGAGCGGGAAGTTTTTGGAGCGCGTGATCTAAGGAATTAGCTCCTAGACTGAATACCATGCACTTAGGGGACCTATGCGACGGCTTCGTTACACTTAAGTACCAATGGGGTTGGAAAATTAAGTAGGTCGGTTGAACTCCAACAACACACACGGAGTAAACCTGAGGATGAAAGAATTCAAGTTAACTCACTAAATATCACCGTACCTGACCACTTAACAATACTGTCACGCAACGAAGTCAATAATCGGACGGGAAGCGAACTGGCTTTCAGTTTCACCAAAGGTGGGTGGAGGATCAGGCATATTGATTAAGTTCCAACAACACACGCGGAAGAAACCTGAGGATGAAAAAAATCAACTTAATTTGCCTGATATTTTGCTACCAGATCATTTAACATAAGGTTGGTGTCGTGTTACAGTACAGTTTCGCAGAACTCTGGAGACGTTTTGAGGACTTTTTGGCAATTTTTCATTACTTTCTTCACAAAATTTTTCGGAAAATTTTGATTAGCGTGTTTGAGTCATAAAACAATCCAAAAAACTAGTCCAGTACCTCTTGTCTATGTTCCGATTTCACGGATTAATTTTCCATTCACATTTATCCAAAAATTTTGGCTTCGAGAAAAAATGTCAAGTAAATTGTCTAAGTACTGATTGTAAGATATCTCAAGGAATATCTAAAGGAACTGACCAAAAACTTTGGGTATTGAGAAAAATTACCGGGTGCTAGCTTGCGGGAAAAGTTTCAACATGTATGACATCATATATAAATTTAAAGCACGAATGGAGAGTTTTAAAAGTTTTGGAAACGTCTTACAGTTTTTAATTGGAGATTGGCGACACCGGGAAAAAATCCAAAACTTCGGGTGTCGAGAAAAACACAGCTCAAAAGTTCAAAAGTCAACAATCAGGACACCTGAACAGGCCTCTCTTCCACCAGTCTGCTCTTTCACCTGTCTGCTCTTTCACATGTCTGCTCTGTCGTCTATCGGCTTACAGCTCTGCACCTTTAGAGTCCGCCGCGCGATGATTCGGGCCAAATTCACTTGCTATTCCTTCTGAACCAGAAACTTGGCCCTTTCTACCTCTTGTTGAGTTTTCTGTTTGGCCTCAACAGCCTATGTGAACTCTCGGCCAAAGTCGTCCAACACAATTCAGAAAAAAGCTGTCCCCGAACTGTGTCTCACGAACTGTCTATGAGAAGCGTCGTATCACGATCAATTCGGCAATGTCGTAACGAGCAACTGAAATACTGAATCGGTTCTCTTGTGCAGATTATCCTCGTGTCGGGCAAACTGCAATCTGCAGCAGACGTTTCCGTGGAAACTCTCGAACTATCAACAATCGTGTCCCTTGTGTCGACCCACTTCGTGTCGTGGTCGGTCACTTGTCGCGAAAAAGAAAGAAGTCGTGAAGAAAAGACCTCGTATCTTCGTCTGTCTCAGAACAAAGGTCCCTTGTGGTGCGCCAAAATGCGCGCTCATTCTCTGAAAAAACTGTATAAACAAATTTAATTATGGATATTTTTCGGTAAACACGCCACAAATAACAAGCAATAAGCAATTGTAAACGGTTTGCATAATCAAGATTACCAAATCAACTTCCGGTTGTTTCGGTACAACTCGTTTTTAAGAGCATTTGGCGCAAGCTAGCCACAAGAACCGGTCGGTTATGTTCTTGAGACAAATTACTCTTTTTGGCGGTCACCCTTAATCAAGGCTGAACCGAATTAGAACCAGTTAAAAAAGGATATGAACCCCTTTTATGGTTAATTAATACATGGACAAGTGGGGGACTCGAACCTACGTCAGCTGTTATGTTACGTTACTTTGTCTTAGTCCGCTTGGCCATCTGGTCTTATTTTATATGCATTTATACTCTTGTTTTATATGCATCTATACTCTGTTTTATATGCATCTATACTCTACATTTGCGTTGCAACACCCGTCCTTTACTACGATAAACTACTGAAAAATTCAAACCTCTCTAAGTCCCGGATGGGTGGAGCCTCTCCTAAACTAGTATTTATAAACCAATTACCTTATTGGAAAACTATCCCAATAAAATATTACTAACTAACCAATCATATTCCATCACTAACATTGACACTTATTTGTAAACGCTGATACTAATTGTAGTTTCAGCACCAGAACAATTTGAGTAAGTCTTAGAAGACAGTTGTTCTCCTTTGGACAAGTTCCATAAACCTAACCCCCAAATACCAGTATACACTAGATCTATTGACACTAGGAGATCTAAGAGTAAGATTAAGATTGGTATTAGACTAATAAGTTGCACAAAACTCTCCCGCCGAAAATAGGATAGCGTGACGAACAGACGGTGTACCTTATCTGAAATTACTCTATGAGAAAGCTACCTCTGGCTTAAACTCATCTGGTGCGACAGTAATCTAATTTAGAGAAAAAGAAACAAAAAGACAAAAGCTAACTCTGGCTTAAACTCAGTAGGGCCAAACAGGCTTGTCCTAGAGAGATTCATTTGTATTTATTATTAAAAGCGATTATAATATTTTTTTAATACCCAGCATGCTATATCGCATGCTTATTTAAAACATACTATCCATTTTCTTATTTGTCAGGAGTCTCTCGTAAGTCTTTGAAATGCTTCAAGTTGAGCTCGAATGCCTTGTCTAGATCTTTGTACGTAGTCTTGGTGCTACAAATTGCCAGTCGCAGAAAATAAGTTTCATCAATCTCCGATGGCGTCAAATGGATCTCTCTAGTTCCATTCAATCTGGCTAGCAGTTCTTTGTTCTGGTCGTTGCTCCCTTTAGCCCGGAAGCAAACCAGTCCCATAGACTGTGGTCGAAATAGCTCAAAGTTGTCGTTGCTGGTCACTAAATTGGCGAAGTAGTCTGCCATCTGGATCGAAGTCCGGATGTGTTTCTGAAAGGCGTTGACTCCGAATGTTCGAAAAGTGAACCAGAGTTTAATAGAGCGAAATCTTCGGCCTAAATATAAAAACTTCTCTTGTCGAGGAAAGTGTTGAGGAAAAAATTGTCGCGTCCAGGCGGCAGGAAATTGGCGATGATAGTGCGAGTACAAAATTTATTTTTTCCTTTTCTTTGACTCAAACTTAATTAAGAGAAAAATCCTATTGAAAAACGGAAATTTTCAGTAAGTAGAACTTTTAAATAAAAGAATTTTCAATTAAAGTAAGTTTAGCTATTAGTGGTCATGCTTAATTCAAAAAATGATGGGGTCTCACTATAGCTGATTTAGAACTAATAGTAAAGTTTTCCAGATTTTCTCAGATGCAAGTTTGATTTAGAAGTACGATAACTCTGGTTCCTGCGAATCGCAAGAGAAGCTATCAGTAGGCCTAAAACTACTTGTTTTAGAGAGGTCCGTTTGCATATCCCTTAAAAAAACTATTTTTAGGTGTTCAAGTAAAATTAGAGGAACGTTGTTACACTGCTGATCATTTTGATTTTTGTTAAATGATTTTTATATCCTGTTTAATGAGGTAAACTTTTTTGAATAAATGTTTGGTGATTGGTTCTCATGTTGCAGATACAACGGGTCAACTCTGAATGCATTAGACAGTTTGATCTTGTCTTTGATCCAGACAGCTGAACAGTCGAACTGAATCAGTAACCATTTGTGAGGGTTGAAGTTGAAAGAGTCGGCCAGTTCTATGCCAGACTTGTGGTGTCTGGTTTCTTCGCAGATGAAGGCCGAACCTGCGTAGGCGGCGTCCACGTGTAACCAAAGATCGAACTTCTGACACACCTCACCAATTTCCCTATTGAACAAAAAAGTTGATAAAAATGAGCTGCGACGAGATTGTCACGATGCTAATTGCTTCTTGTGTAGGAGCTTTTTCTACTAAACTTTTTCAATAAGTTCAGTGGGGTTACAGCAGGAGCGGATTTAGATAGACGCCCCTCGATGAGGAACTTGACCCCCTCATCAACCAAATGGTCCCCCCCCCCCTCTAGTACTAATTTATGACATCCATTTTCGGCCGAACAACCATTAAATTTTTCTAAGGGCGCCTTTGGCGCCTAATACCCAACTAGTCTTTTGGTCGGCCTAAAAAAAGAAAATCCGCCCCTTCCACCGCCCAGGAGAAAAACTTAGATCCACTGAAACTTAGAAAACTTAGGTTACAGGGTTTCTTCAGTTTTGCTTTTGAGACTTATTTTTAGCCAATTTTCGAAACGATAATTTTAGGCCATTTTTAGAAACAATATACAAAATTTCTAAAGCTTTTTTTTCGCTCAGTTTCAGCTCAATTTCAACCCACTGCTGCAAGCAAAGAAAACGGTAAAAAATTGATTTTTATGCTTCTTTTTTTGATAATGTACTATTGACCGTTGGCCGTACGTTGTGTCAACCGTAACTCATATATTTTGCATATCAAACGGTTACTCTTACTTGAGGTTATCAAATGAGCAGCATGAAGTTGTTCCCAAAGTGGCCACTACACAGAATGGGATCAGTCCCTCCTCTATGTCCTTCTGTATGGCCTCCTCCAAATCTTGGCCCCGCATGGAGTAGTTATGGTCATAAGCAACTGAAGTGTACTGCACTGCACCTAACAGACAGGCCCTCTCTACACTTGAGTGGGCTAGCTTGGACCCATATGCCACCATCTTGCGAACATTCTAGAGCAAAGTTAATTTTAGGTCAACAATATCGAATTGCAAACAGTTAGAGTTCTTCGATTAAAATTTTCTAAGTTCTCGAATTAAAATGCAAAAAATGTCATGAAGTTCAGTCTTAAGACGGTTTTCTTGTTGTTTAGACGGTTTTCTTGTTCTTTAAGTCTTATAGATACTTAATACTGCCTTACCAGCTCCTCGTGGCGTCGTGTTACCAAAGCTAACTCATGCCGTTTCTCACTTGATGACATAGTAAGAACAGTCGAGCTATGACGAGTGGAAGCAGATTTAACAGACTTATGTGACTCACGTTTTGTACTTTCTTTAGGCTTATTAGAGACCTTAGACTTGTTGTCAGATACTCGTGCTTCTGAATCTCTTGTTTTTTGCGAGCGTGAGGATGTCTCAGACCTAGTTTGTTATAAAGATCTTTTGCTCCCTGTTAAGCCGGCTGCTGAAAATTACAAAGGTTCAAGGCTCATCTTGTAACTCTGAGCTTCATGTATTACTTTATCGTTCATTTTGATTTTTTTCTAGCGCCAAAAGTCTTGCTGAGCAATAATTTTTTCAGTGTTTTCCGCGGGAAAAGTTTCAACATGTATGACATCATATATAAATTTAAAGCACGAATGGAGAGTTTTAAAAGTTTTGGAAACGTCTTACAGTTTTTAATTGGGGATTGGCGACACCGGGAAAAAATCCAAAACTTCGGGTGTCGAGAAAAACACAGCTCAAAAGTTCAAAAGTCAACAATCAGGACACCTGAACAGGCCTCTCTTCCACCAGTCTGCTCTTTCACCTGTCTGCTCTGTCGTCTGTCGGCTTACAGCTCTGCACCTTTAGAGTCCGCCGCGCGATGATTCGGGCCAAATTCACTTGCTATTCCTTCTGAACCAGAAACTTGGCTCTTTCTACCTCTTGTTGAATTTTCTGTTTGGCCTCAACAGCCTATGTGAACTCTCGGCCAAAGTCGTCCAACACAACTCAGAAAAAAGCTGTCCCCGAACTGTGTCTCACGAACTGTCTATGAGAAGCGTCGTATCACGAGCAATTCGGAAATGTCGTAACGAGCAACTGAAATACTGAATCGGTTCTCTTGTGCAGATTATCCTCGTGTCGGGCAAACTGCAATCTGCAGCAGACGTTTCCGTGGAAACTCTCGAACTATCAACAATCGTGTCCCTTGTGTCGACCCACTTCGTGTCGTGGTCGGTCACTTGTCGCGAAAAAGAAAGAATTCGTGAAGAAAAGACCTCGTATCTTCGTCTGTCTCAGAACAAAGGTCCCTTGTGGGGCGCCAAAATGCGCGCTCATTCTCTGAAAAAACTGTATAAACAAATTTAATTATGGATATTTTTCGGTAAACACGCCACAAATAACAAGCAATAAGCAATTGTAAACGGTTTGCATAATCAAGATTACCAAATCAACTTCCGGTTGTTTCGGTACAACTCGTTTTTAAGAGCATTTGGCGCAAGCTAGCCACAAGAACCGGTCGGTAATGTTCTTGAGACAAATTCCTCTTTTTGGCGGTCACCCTTAATCAAGGCTGAACCGAATTAGAACCAGTTAAAAAAGGATATAAACCCCTTTTTTGGTTAATTAATACATGGACAAGTGGGGGACTCGAACCTACGTCAGCTGTTATGTTACGTTACTTTGTCTTAGTCCGCTTGGCCATCTGGTCTTATTTTATATGCATTTATACTTTTGTTTTATATGCATCTATACTCTGTTTATATGCATCTATACTCTACATTTGCGTTGCAACACCCGTTTTTTACTACGATAAACTACTGAAAAATTCAAACCTCTCTAAGTCCCGGATGGGTGGAGCCACTTCTAAACTAATATTTATAAACCAATTACCTTATTGGAAAACTATCCCAATAAAATAATACTAACTAACCAATCATATTCCATCACTAACATTGACACTTATTTGTAAACGCTGATACTTATTGTAGTTTCAGCACCAGAACAATTTGAGTAAGTCTTAAAAGACAGTTGTTCTCCTTTGGACAAGTTCCATAAACCTAACCCCCAAATACCAGTATACACTAGATCTATTAACACTAGGAGATCTAAGAGTAAGATTAAGATTGGTATTAGACTAATAAGTTGCACAAAACTATCCCGCCGAAAATAGGATAGCGTGACGAACAGACGGTGTATTTTATTGAGTTAGGACCAATGTGGTTAACTCATAGAGTAATTTCGGATAGGGTACACCGTCTGCTCGTCACGCTATCTTATTTTCGGCCGGATAGATTCGTGCAACTTCTTAGTCTAATACCGATCCTAATCTTACTCTTATACTATCTAGTCTCAGGTTGTTTAACTAGTCTCTGCTAGTGTAATAGATCTAGGGTATACTGGTTTATTGCGGCTGCTGAAGTTCTCTTGGAGAGGCAACTAATTTCTAAGTTAAATTCAAATCTCTCTGGTGCTGAAATTACAAGTAATTTCAGCACTTACAAATAAGTGGGTTGTTAGTTAGATGGATCATGATTGGTTAATATTAAATACTTTACAGTGGTAAAATATCTAATTTATCCAATCATAAAAAATAGTTTAGATCAGGTTCCACCCATCCGGGTTTTACAGAGTTTTTTAGAATTGTCTTTCTGCAATTCAAAGGATGGATGATGAACGTTGGTATTTGGCGAACATCATATTCTTCTGGGTTCTCTTGTTAGAGAAGTTCCAGGACGCTGGAATGATGGATATCAATCGTTGTGTCTTTCTTGAGACAACGACTGTGTTTCACAACGAAATCAATCTGATTTCAGAATGGTTTGCTATGACGGGTTTTTCTGTTTCATGTAGAGAACTTCTTTTGTGTTCGACCTCGTTTGGGAATGGCGTGGAGATTGTGCGTGGAGGGGATGCCTTGTTACTCGGATCTGTACGTATACTTGAACAGCGAGGTGGTCATTGGTCTAGTTCAATGAAGTCCGTTTCTGCGAAGTCAAGTCGTACTCTAAATCCTTTGAGTTGTGATTGTGGACGGCATATTGGTTGTGGTTGGCCATTCTTTTTCTAGTGTAGTGGGGTCATTTTGTCTTTGGATGTTGGTCTTTGGAGTTGTATGCTGATCTATATACTGCAAGGTATAATTTACATTTTATAAAATCTTTATTAGTTCAGTGTTTTAATTATGATTTTGGTTAGTTGTTTTCACAAAAGCATTTTGTTTTAGTTCGGTTATTTTGAAGAGTTACTCACCCTTGAGTACCTCTTATTAAAAATAGAAGTGTGGTCACAAAGCGTGGATGTAGCGCGGTGGGTTAGGCCGGCTATAGAGCATGCTCAGGACGTCCTCTCTGGTGGGTTAGGCCAGGAGTGGGAGTATGATTTCGTGCGGTTTCTGTGAGAGGTCCTGTTATGTGATAACGTTTTATGTCGGGTTTGTGGTGGTTTTTCTTATGTTTCGTTGGTTGTGTCCTTTTTTCAAAAATCAAATTGTTTTTGGTATGGGTTTGTCTTTCGACTTTTTTGCGTTTTATTATTTCTTTCTTAGACTTTATAATAGTCTTCAAAAGAATAAATTATCCAGTTTTAAACTGGGTTAATCCGGTTTGGGTACCGTTGGTTTTCTTTCCTTAGTCATGCTGTTATTTTATGATTTGTGGTGTTTAGTAGGCTGCGTTGGTTAGTTTGGTTTAGTATATGATTCCTTTCCAACCGGGTTAAAGGAAAGTTTGAAACTTGTTATCGTGTGTTAGAGTTGTTGAGTGTGAAAACTTGAAACTAAAATTCATTATTTAGACAATTCTTCGTGGGCGAGCTGTGCGAGTTTGGGTAGAATTCTTGTGCGAATGAATGAAAATATCAACAGGTTAGTACTGCATTTTCGTCTTATCAATTTACTACATAGAATTTTAATTTTACTGCTGGTTTTTGGGAAAAATTAAGTTACAAATTTTCATCATTACTATATTTACTGCTTTTGGGGAAACAATTTATAAATTAATTTACTACATTGGTATGAATTTTATTATATTTATCTTGTGCAAAATATTAATAGAGTTGAGAAGAATTTTAACAAGTTTTCTGTTTTTTATTTTTCTTTTCTGTTTTTTGCAGATGATTGTGGGATGAAGACTAAAAATCTAAATGAGACATGAATAAAGAATGGTTAGTTTTAATTTAAATTTATTAGTGAAGAATTTGTATAAATTATACTTACCTATTAGTCGTCGGGGAAAAAACCGTGGGGAAAGATGTCGTGTATTATGTCGGAGTTTGTTAGTAATTTTGCTAGTATGCGAATGATGTTTTTAGTTTGAAGCAGTGGCCAAAGCAATTGAAGTGCTTTAATAGTTTTTAGTTCTTCAGTGCCAACTGCAAACTCATAAGGTGTGTTTTGAATGAGATTATATAATTTGTGATTGTATTTAGTGTTGTGGATGAATTCTAATATTGGGATTTCTATAGGTTGAATAAATTCATGTGGGATAAGGAAGGGTCTGGATTCTTCTGCGTTAAAGGTCTTCGTGATGGGACAAAATATATACATTTGGGTTATGGGATCATAATAGCGGAGGATACCGTGAAGGTTAGCATCTTTGATGCAATATGTGAAGTTAAGAAAAAATGGTGATGTGTATTTAGAGTTAATAAATTGAAAACGATGGTGTGGTTGTCTTGATGGAGTGTGTAGGTCAAAGTGATTTTTTATAAAGCGGTAATATGTATATGTGTGGGTTTGTTTAGTGCGTAACATAATGTCGTGTGAGCATGTGGTGCAAGAAAATGAAAGGTTAGTGAAAATAATTGAAATCTTTCTTTAAAACTTTCGTAAGCTTGCATGTCGGTTAGTGCTTCAGAAATGACGTGGTCGAATTTGCGATCAAATATATTGAGTGTAAATACATATGGTGTTTTGATGAAGAATTTTTCTGTGATTTGTGGGTTAGCGAAACGATCATCATCTAAAAATTGGTCTTGGTTAGTTCGGATGATGTTATGATCGTAATATTCTAGCGTGTATTCGTTAGCTCGGGGTGCAGTGAAAGTTTTTAGTGACTTTTTATATCCTATATAAGTAAATTGTCTATGTGTTAGTGGTGTGGTGAGTCGGTATAGCATATCTTGATTTCTTTCTATATCGATATGAGTATTAGATAATGGTAGGCAAAGGGGATTAGTAAAATGATAGTATGATGTCCATTGAAGTGTAGGCATTAAAACATGTTCATCTACAAATTTACGTGTGTCGTTAGTGTCATGAGGAGTGTTTAAGGTATATTGTGGAAATGAAGGTAAGGTGATTGCTAGAAAATCTTTTGTTTGGGAATTTTCTTTGGTTTGGGAATTTTCTTTTGAAAGTGCGATAAGCTCCATTAGTGCTATTTGATGATTCGGTGGATGTGGATGATTGTGCTAATGATGCGGTATAAGCTGAAGAGGGTGTAGGGGTTGGTGGGTTTGATGATTCTATTGTGGAAGAAATCTGATTTATAGTGGGGGTGTCAAGGTGTAATGGTTGTTGCTGTAGGGTGATAAAATTATCTAGTTCCTGGGAGATTTGGGGAATATCTGGAGAATTGGATGATCGGTCTGAATGAAATGAAGAGTAGGTTGGGGTGACTTGTGAAGCGTAAGAGGGTGTAGAAATAGATGGGAGTTGGTTACTTGGTGGGAATGGTTGAAAAGGGGGTGTTGAAAAAATTGAGGAGTTGGTTTGGAAATTATTGGATGGAGATGGTTCAGAGTCTGAAAATTCATCAGGGGTTTCAATATTAGGGTTATTGAGTTGTGAAATGGAGTATAAAACTGAAATATTTGAATTAGTGTCTGAATTCATGCCTGATGTTATGTTACTGGTTGGGAAATCTGGTGGCGGGAAAGCAAAAAGTGGAATTATTGTAATTGGAGTGTTGAGGTTGGTTGGATGGGAATTTGAGCGGTGTAGGGATCCAAGTTGTCGGCTCATCGTGGGCTAAAAAATTTATTATTTTGAGACTGAAAAACGGTGGTATGGGGTTGTTCGATAATTTGTTCATATGTATTTTCATTTTGTGAATGATGTGTCATTATATGTTGTATGGGACTTTGCGATATGTTTGGTCTAAAATTTGGATTATGTGTTATTGCTAAATTTCGAAAATTTCGTGGGACTAGGGATAATGGATGATTATGTGGTAGGGGTGGCAACTGTGGTGCTGTAGGCGTTACTTCTATATTTTTATGTTCTTCGTTGTAAGTGTTCTGTCTTGTCGCTATTTTTGTATTGTATTCTTTTATTTGTGCGTCTAAAAGAACTTTGTTTATTGATGATGAAAAAATTCCAAAGAAACCTGCAAATAGTATGCGTGCTACACTTGCTTGTCTATTTACTTGTGTGTGTATAGCGCATGTATTATAGATTCCTTTTAAAAGTGAAAAAAGAAATCCTATAAATTAAACATTGCGTATAAAATAGTTAATTTTTCTAAGATGTAATAGGGCCATCCTAGAAAATCCAGAATTTCATTTTTTAGTGTAACAAAGCTAAAAATATTTATAGGTGAGATTTCTTGTGGTCGGTATTTTTCACCGTTTAGATATATATAGTCTTTAATGTCTTTAAAATATCCGCTATAATCTTGTGTATAGATATCTGCAAATCCTGCGGTTTCGGCAAGTTTGCGTAAGTTTTGATCAATTGATTGTCTTTGTATAGTGTCCATTTGTGTTAATAATTCTTGGAATTGTTGTGTTCTAATGTGATGTTGGATATCGGATTTTGAATATATTCCAATTGATTGTAAGTCGATATTTGGGTTTCGAGCAATAGCTCTAATGCTTTCTGGTGAAAATTTTTTGAGTGATTGCATTAATGTGGGGTATGGGGTAAGAAGGTAATATTTATCTTCATCAGGGTTCAGTTGTACTACATTGTGGCTATTTTCTGATCCACATGGGACTGCGGTATCCCAGAAATAGGTTCGTCTTGAAAAGGTGTCAACGAAATGTAATTTTTTCTTATAAAAGATAGGGATTCTTTTATAGCATCGTTTATCTTCAAAAACATATAGTGGTGATACTTTTTTGGTACAGGTATAAAACCATAAAATGTTTCCTTCGTAGTCTAATAAATTTGATCTATTTCCTGATAGTAAATATCCTGCGTAGGGTATTTTTAATACTGCTAGTGCAAGTGATTGTAGGATTTGTGTCCGTTCTAATTCGCATGGCTGGTGAAGTGTTTCTAATTCAGAGAGTGACATTTTCTGAAAAATTCGGCTAATTGTGTAATCTAATTTCATATCTAAGTGAATATCATAGTGGATATTACCAAAATAAGAATTATTCATTAGTGATAGTTCTTGTAAACGTGTGCTTCTAGTGTCATGGGGCTTTAGATGTCCACCTGGTTGACCATTACTTTTTTGAAAATTAACTGGTATATATGATGTTCTTTCGTTTAGAAGATGACCTGTGGCATAAGGGTCAATTTTTATTTTTCCAGTGGTCATGTCGAAACCTTTTTCGTATTCAACTAATATTTCAGAATATTGTGTTTTGTAAAGTGGGTTTCTGTATTTGCATGCAAGTTCTGTTTCTTGATATATTTCAAAACGTGTCAATTTATTTTCTATATTGTGAATGTTTCTAAAATTAGTACTTTGTTTTCGTGATGGATTTACTTGTTCATATGGAATTGATTGTATAAAATATTTTTCGTGAAATTTTATCATTCGGGCGTGTATTTTTGCTACTTGAAATGTTGTACATGTGTCTTCGGGAAACCAGACAAGTGTTGCTTGTGTTCGTGTTGTAGGGTCACAATAGCCTTGATCGTTTTTACAAGGTAATCTAATTCCTTGATAGATCATTGTGTTGTCAGATAAATCTCGTGTGAGTTGTATTTTTTCGAGTTGTATTTTCCAATCGAAAAACATTATTTCTTGATATCCTTTATTTTTTGTGTCTGCTTTGCAGTTTGATGGGTTATATATACCAATGTGTGGTATCCAGTGTTTATCGTGTATGTCATAAGTTAATCTTCCGTGTGCGCCGTTGTATGGGTATTTTTCATCTAGTTTTATATGTCCTTGATATCTTTCAAGTTCTGCTTGATGTACAGAATCTCTCTGCAAAAACTTGGAAATATACTAATTTTCTGTCGGTGTTTTTATTTCTTGTGATATTTAGTCTGAGTAACTTGTTTTTACAACCTTCGGGATTAAGATGTAAAAGTCGTTCGATATTACTCTGGTAGAATGATTCGTGGTCAAGTCGGTTTTTATTTCCATTTGAGACTTGTGAACAATCTACTTTCTTTTCGGAAAATGTTGCTGTGAATTTGTATCCTATAACTGTTGTTGCTCGGGCTTTTGAATAGAGTGTCGCTATTACGTTGGTAGTTTCTATAGCTTGTGGTTCTGTTTCGCATTGTGATACTTGATTTATTGCATATTTGTGTAGTGTTTTTTGTTCATTTTCTTCACAATCGTAATGTGTGACTAATAAGTCTTGGGGTCCTGTGCGGGGAGAAGGATTTATATTCTGATCGGAAATTACTAGAAAAAAGAGTTGGAGAAAAATTAATATTTTTAGAATATACATGTGTATGATAATCCTGAAAATGGGTTATAAAATGTGATGTAACCAATTGTCTTTTTGGTATATCTGTCGTATTTATATATTACTTCAGTTGTTATAAATGGTGGTGGTAGTGATTGAGCTGTTATATTTGGTGGGTTTAATAGGTAAGGATGTTGAGCAATGTTGTTTAGTTTAACTATGATTTCAAATTTTAATTGTATGCTATTTTGTTGGAGTATTTGGATGTTATGGTCACGAATGTCTTCGTGGATATCTTGTCTCTATTGTAATCTATTAATTGCCCAGTTGTCGAGTCGGTTACTTTCGGAGTGTTGTCCAAATAATGGTGGAGGTGCTGTGAATGTATTCCAGTCTAATCTTAGAGGGATATTTGTTGATGATTGTTCTCGATATCTAGCATCGAGATTATTTGGGAAATTTAAAGGAAAACGTGTCGGCGAAATTTGGCTTATTGATGGTGTTGATGGTAGTGATAATGTTTCTGGTAGTGATGATGATGTTGTTGTATCGGTAGAAATATCTATTGGATCATTTATTAAATTGGGTTCAACTTGTGTGAATGATTGTGTTGTCCAATATGGTAGTCGTGATGTTTGGTTTGGAGGGTTAAAGGGATTTTCACGTATTTGTTCAGATGTTGGTGTTGAACCTAAGTAATCTGAGGGTAGACTTGAGGTGCTACGTTGTGAAAGAAGCGTAGGGGTTACTGGTAATATACCAATTGGGTTTTCCGGAGTACTTTGTGATGGGGATTGGGGTATATCAAAATGAACTCGGGGGGTTTGAAAATTTCTGTTTCGTCGTGGATGTATAATTTGTCTATTTATTTCAACTGTATTTTGATTTTGACTAAGATTTCGTATTCTACTTAATTCTTGTGGAAGTGTTGGGTACAAGTTATATGTTGGTTCACTTAGAGGTGCTTGTCGTTGAACTGGTTCTAGTGGTTCAGATAAGCGAGCGTGTCGTTCTTCAAAGGTATATGGGTTATCTTGGAAAGAAATTCGTGTAGATGTTTGGGGGTTTTGGGTAGTTGTAGGTGGTATCGGGTTTTCATGGGATGATGTCGGTGAAGACTGACTGTGTGATTGTTGGTTAGCAATTTTTGAGGGTTTTTTATTGATTTCTTTTAGTGAAAAAATTTATGTTTATTGTAGTATTCTTCTAGAAAAAGGATTAAAAGGATTGTTGCTATGGCGAATGTTATGACTGCCTTCTTTATACATTTGCATATTGTCAAGATGAGGGATGATAAAAATGTTATAGAAATTACAAATAGTACAAAAATATCTGTTCTACTAAAAATGGTTCGTATCATTTAGATAAGTTTTGTGTCTCGTACCTGTGAATATGGTCAATGGCTTTTGAGAGTTGGAAGTATAGTTCAAATATGGAATAGAAAATTAAAAAACTATTGCAAAAAATGATTAAGATTATTACAAAAGCTTCAAAGGTATCAAAAAGAAATATGAATAAAAGTTAAAATATTGTTAAAAAGTTTATGAAAATGTTGAGTATTATGTTGACTGATCGAGAGAAGAGCATTTAAGAAATGGCTTCTTGATCGAATATTTTTTGTTGTTTGGGGCAATTTTCAAGTGCGGTCGAATTATTTATTGGTTTTTTTACAAGTGGGTTGAGTTTTGTGAAAAATTGTTGGGGGCGAATTTTATGGTTTTCGGGAGGTATTCTTTTATTTTATTTCTATTTGTCAAGTGATCTGGGGTATTTTTGAAATTTTTATACTTTAGGCTAATTTAATATAGTCGTTCTTTTACTTTAGGCTAATTTAACAATTTTGTTTGGGGGGTATTTGAGGTCTGAGTTGGGGAAATATTGTTGATCTTTGGGTTATTAGATAAGGGAGGGTTATGATATTATGGTGATATTTATTTTAGTTGTCAAGTTGGAGTGGTTTGCTTATTTTTGACCTGGAGGTCGTAAAGTTATAGTTATAGATATGCCTGGAGTTTAATATCTTTCGTCTAATTGGTTTGTGTTAGAGTTATAGGAGGTGACGGATTGAATGAATCTTATTGGCTAATTTTGAACTAGAATTGATGCGTGTTTGTCAGCATGTTATTTTGAAAAATGAAAGTTTAAAATTTTTCAGAGGTGCAAAGATTATTGATTGTAAAATTAAAGTTGTTTTTGAAATTCAACTTTCTTTAATATTTTAGATTGTGGAATGAATGTTTTGTAGTTTTTGCGTGGTTGATTTCTAAGTCGTGATGACTCTCTAGGTTCTGATTTCTCTAATTGTTCTTGGGGTATAATTTTTTTTGTCATTTTTATATTTTTTCTTTCTTTTTGATGTATATTTTGATCTAGCTTTTTTGCATTGTTTTTCATTGTGGTTGATTTTTTATTTTGGTTTTCGAGGTGAATGTCATGTTGTTCTTTTGTTTCATTTTCCGTATGTGGGTTTTTTTGAATAATTTTTAAACCTGTGAAAGAATATAAATGAGTTAGTCGCGTAGTGCATATTCTTTTGGGTAATAAGGTAATAGATTGTTTCGATGCTGAACAATTTCTTTTTGGTCTGAGTCGGTGATTTTATATGTTACGTCAGTGTGTTTGGCAATTATTTGGTATGGTCCTTTACGAAGGGGTTGTAATTTTTTAGAAATTCCTTTTTGAGTGTTAAAATTAGGTATTAAAACAAATGTTCCAATTTTCAAATCGTGAATTTATTTGTTCATTAATGTTTTGCCTTTGTAACAACTTTTTTGTTACTTTTTGGTAAATTTCATTGTGTTTTTTATCTCTATTTAAAATCCATTCGGTGTGTGTACAGGAGGCTAATTTAAGAAATTGTGGGTGATGAAAATGATCTTCATCATGTGTGTGTAAAGGTAGGTTATAACAAATTGAGTCTTTGTTCGGTTGACAATGACTTTGTGAATTTTTATGAGAGTTTGCTGTAAACATAATTGGTTTGCGTGGCTTTTGATTAAAAACCATTTCATATGGTGACATTCCTAGAGTTGTCGTGATTTGTGAATTATATGCTAAGGGAAATAGTTTTACATCTGCTGACCATTCGGTGTATCTTGTATCATTTCCATTGATGATACATCTAAGATATCCTTGTAGTGAACGGTTCATACCTTCGACTAAGCCGTTTGTCCAAGGTGCATGAGATGTACGTGGTTTGTGTTTAATGTTATATAAATGACATAATGTGATGATTTCATTATTTATAAATTCTGTACCGTTGTCTGTAACTAAAATTTCGGGTAATCCGAACTTGGCTATCCAGTGTTCATAAAGTGTTGTGTAAGCGTAATAAGCGTTACAATGTGGTACTGGGTTAAGTGCTACATAATGTGTAAATGCGTCAACAATTACCAAAATGTAGGAGTTTCCTTCGGATGATGGTGAAATTGGTCCTTTTGTATCGAATGAGATACGATGGTTAAAGTATAAACTTTGTCCTTTAAAATCTTGTTTTTGTGCTATTTGTTTTTGATTTGGATAAGGTTTATTTAGCTGACATACTATACAATCATTGCATAGTACTTTTATCCAAATTGGTGCATTTGGGAAATAGAAATTTTGTATAAAATTTGAATATGTTTTCTCTGATCCAGAGTGTCCTTTTATGTTTTGTGTATGTGAAATGTTAAAAGCTGTGAGAATCATACTTAAAGGGAGACAGGGAACTGTTGATTCATTTAATTGGTATTCTAGAAGGTCTGTGTTTTCATTAATTGTTGTATGATTAAATTTTCGAAAATATCGGAGGAGTGTTTTATTTCCTAAAATTGTGATCTCTGCCTTTACGGGTTTAGTTTTATATTTGTGCCATGATTTTAGTTGTCTAATTACTGGGTCAAGATTTTGTGTTGTTTCAAGGTATTAATTGTATTTTTTCTGTTGGAGGGAGAAAAATGTTTTCAATTTCGAATTTAGATAAAGGAATTGTGTCAAGTGGGTCATGGAGGTCAAAAACTTGATTTATTGTGTATTTTGAATCGTTTGTTTGTGGTCCTGATAAATTTATTTTATCAGTTAGATTTTCTTTTTCAATCAACGGGAAAAGGTCTTTTTTATGCGAGTGTTGTTTTACTCTTTTTTGTTGGGTGTTATTTTTTATCCATTGTGAGTATGGAATTGGTTTGAAAGTTGACGTTCCAAGTAGATCAACTTCGTAGTGGTTATTTTGGCAATCTAAGTAAAGTGGGAAGTGTTGTAGGTTATTTATCTGTGATTGTTCAACGTCGGTTTTTACTGCATATTTGCATTCTAGTCGGGGTGATGTTTCGTTTTCTGCAAGGTAAATTTTTATATTTTTGGGTATTTCAACTGTAGTTTTACGTCTAAGTAATTCAGGTGGTGTATTTCGACTTAATGTATCTGGTAATGCAAGATTTTTTCCTGCTGTCCAAACTATATGCTGAATTAATTGAAATCTATAAACTCGGTGATTTGGGTTTGACTTTTGTGTAAAGAGAAAAATGATTGGTTTGTGATCTGTGAATAGAACTGTTGGATGTTTTGATCCAAGTATCAGAAATTCATATTCTGTAAGTGTATAAATTATAGCTGTACATTATAAATTATAGCTGTACATCTTCTTTTGTCTGTGATTGCATAAAAACATCGTCTAAATAGATGATTGCGTTTTTCTTAAGTATTAGTTGTCTAAAAATTTTACTCATAAAAGCTGAAAATGCTGCTGGTC